TGGTCCTTTTTCTAAATTTAAAAATATTTTGTCTTAAAATCTAACCCATGCGATTGAAAAGTTCCAAAAATGTAAATGATTTTATATTATCATTTATATTCTCATAATTATTTGACCTATTTCAAAACAAAAATTGAAATTGAAATTGAATTGACTATTGGTGTAACTAATATATACCACGTGACCATCGAAGGGTTAAATTCTAAATACATAAATGCATTGTATCGTGATTTTGTGAGTGAAACTTTGCTATTCGATATGTACATACATACATGCATACACATTTTACGATAGATAACCTTATAAGGTTTGGGAAACTTTCATAAAAACTTCTAGATCTCGTGTTATCAAATTTTGCCTACATAAAAATCTGTGAGGTGTTGCTGACAGCAATTACGTCAACGCCAAAATCTTTGGGAAAAGTGACTCAACAATGGCAAACCTTTCCTGCAGGGTCGGAGTATACTCCCACGAATATGAACATAGAGAATCAAATATTGCACGAGTATGAGTGAATGGATATGCAGGAGTGGCATGCGTCAGCTGGTAAATTTTAAAGTTTGTAAACGTCCTTTGGCACTTGCATGCGCATATTCGTACATATGTATGTACGTGTGTAAAATATATGTAGCTATGCCATAGCCGCCGGTTAACCCTTAAGCGGCTGAAGGAAGACATTCTTTGAAATTGCTGGCTACACACCACCAACACGTGCAGCAAATCTATTGTGTTCTTCTTAAGTTGTTATTGTTGCTGGTTTGTTGTTGAGTTGGTTGCCTTATTTTGCCAGCTGCATTGCAGTTTTTCTGCTTTCTTTTAACGCTGTTGGAGTTGTTACTTTTTTTCGTTGTGATTTTTGCTTTTATTTAGCGTCAGTTCAACGATGCCACACCAAGTGTTCATTTTGACTCACTTGCAGTGCACAAACACACTTACTCCAGGATTAGCTTGCATATTTATGTATGTACATACATATGTATGTATGGGTGAATTTGTAAGTCTGTGTATGCATTATGTCGAATGACTATACGGAGTGCCGGCATTCGCTATCGCTGATACTCCGTCGCCACTGACACTCCGCTGCGCTCTTCGCTTTTGCTCGAATCCAATCGAGCCACTCCTCATCGCCTCCCCTTTACCATGTACGGTTTTGTTGCTGATATGGAGAATGTTGCAGTCGTGTTGCTCTTATCGCTGTTATTGCTGTTGCTGTTGCTGTTGCTGTGTCTGATTCAGCTTGCCCGCATCGCGGAGGTGCAGCTCTCTACCAGCCGGCCAACCCGCCGCAAGCCAATAGTTTAAGTTGCTCCAACTTCACTCGTTCGTGTCGTAGTCGAGAGCAACAACCCGCCGGAATCGGACGCATTTCTGTGGTGTATCATCTTGTTTGGTCGTTATTCATATTTTACAACACTTGTGTATATATTTTCGCTGTTCGTCGCGAAATCGGTATAGTTGCAGACAGGAATACTTTTATTTTTATTTACGGAATCATTTTTTTTTTGCTTTAATCATTTAACGTTCAACAAAATTCGAAATCTTAAATTCTTTGCGTGGGTGCTTAACAAAAAAATTCTTATTAACATACATACATATTTACATATAATCAGTTGCCAAAAATCGTTACAAACGCGACCAAGAAGAACAAGGTGAATAGATTTTAAAATTAAGTGTTTCAATGTTTAGTGTCCAGCAAATTTGTGAAATCGTGTTTGAACTAAATTCTGTGCCCTTTTTTACTTGAGTGTGTGGATGTGCACTTATTAGCATCTTGAGACAATTTTTATAAATAAAACAAAAATACAAACAAATAATTTCACAAATAATTTCAATGCATCCACACGTTTAGATAAAACTAAAAATAACCTGTGTCCTAATAAATCCTGAACTTTGTTACTGAAGCCCAGCCCTTTGTGGCAGCGTTGTGTGTGCAAGCCAGTGCATACTTGTACACAAATACTAAATACATATGTATATACGTCCATATACATACATATGTACATGTCCATACTTACATGTACATATGTATGTATGTATATATGTATGTATGTATGTATGGAGTCCAGTTGGAAACCTGCATACATACATACACATACATAGTTTCTTATTTGCAAAAATTCATATCAGCAAAAGTAGATACGCCAAACAAGTTCTGCCATCTCTAACACTTCTTTCTTCGGATGCATTGTACATACATACATATGCATGTATTTGCGTATGCGCATACATACATGCATTCTGTTCCTTATTTTGCAATTCTGGTTAAAGGGTATACCATTCACTCGGGACAATAATGACTTTTAAGTTAAGGTAATTTAAGCTTTTTCGGTATGAAGAAATACAGGACTTCTGATAAATATATTTTTACAAGTTACTCGTACCCAAAAACGAAACGAAAGGTATTGTACCCTAGGTAGTGGTGAAAGAACAAATTTACGAATCCTAACCATACCATGCTAAGTCAACTTAGGGCGTTTTCTTTTCTCGAAAAAATGTTACCTTCTTATGTGGCAACATTTTCAGAGTGCAACATTTTAAAGAAAGAGCTCGCAATATGCATGTGAAGATGCTGAGAATAGAACACCAAAACTTGATAGCCCTGGTGCAGGGCAGAATAAATGCAACATTATTTCGAGAAAGAAAACGCTATTAGACTCAGCAATGTTAAAAATTAGTATGTTTTTCTTCCATTTTTCTCTCTTACGTCCTCACTCGGTGAAAATTCCGTTGCAAATAAGGCGAATTTGTCATACACGACGCAAGCGGTTTGACCAAACGTGAACATGGCGGCCAGAAAATCAAAAAATTTGTATTGTACAAATTGCTTGAAGCAAAGGAATATTTCGCTTGGTTTGTCAAGCCGCTTGTGTTGTGTATTTTGCTCTTTACCACACTACATGATTCTAGTGAGTGACTCTTGCTCAAAGACAAAGTGATTTCCTCTCATGCAGCATTGCTTCGTCCAAGCAACAGCAGCGGAATCGATGCCGCTTGAGACCAACGCCCTCGAGATATAATCATAGGCAGTATTATCATATTTCTCCTAAATATCGAAGAAGAATCATACTAGCCAAATATTAGTTATACGGCCGAATCCGTTAATTTTTCTTTGACATAAAAAATTGATAAACGTCCAGTTATCCTTGGCCGAATTGCTCGTAAAACCAATGAACTCAGTGCCCACAGGATTTACAGTAAAACCCGCTTAAGTACCTCACGAGAAATGTCAGCTTTTTGAGGTACTTAGGCGGGTTGGGTACTTAAAAGAACCCACTTAAGTACCTCGATGCGGGTACTCAAGCGAACATAATTTGAGATGTAGTTACATCTTCTTGTTAACCTACATAAATAAGTCCTTGAATAACACATGAACATTTAATGACTTTTAACTTTAGAAAACCGTAGTAGAAAGCGTAGTAAATTTCTTAAGAACTGCGTACTGCCTTAAG